TATATATATATATATATATATATATATATATATATATATATATATATATATATATATATATATATATATATATATTAGTTCTCTGTGACTGACTGATTGAAATCTTTCCAACCAATCACTGTTCATTTTCTTGTCTTTCTACTTTTAAATATTTATACATTTAAATGTGTACCTTTAATCTATCTATGAATTAATTTGAATAATTAGAACATGATTACATGTATTACACATAAACAAACAAGAAAAATAATTAAAATGGGACATTAAAATTATTCTAACATATAACATTATTTGCTTACCTCTGTGTTGTCTTAAATGTGTAATAGCTAAAACCAAAAAGTATGATGTTATAAGCATTCATTACAAAATCTCAATTAAGATCAATAATGAAATTGATAATAAAGGCAAACAAAATCCAATAAATTTCTATACAATTTACAATGCAATAATGAATTATTTTTAAAAAATCTATTCATATATGATAGATTACTCTTGAAAGGTTTGGGAAAACAAAAAGGAATTTTAATAAAGTGCAATAAACAAATTTACCTTTTGGTATAGTCAACCTTTGACCTTTGAAAAGTTGATCAAGTTCTAAGGAAATGTAGGGGGGATAAGACAAGAAAAAAAAATACAATGTAATTATATAATTTTAACTCAACAATCTTTAAAAATAATTTATATAAGTGTATAATAGCGCACTAAATAAATATTCACTACATCAACAATTGCCGACCTGTTCCAGGATTGAATATATAGACACAATTTTAAAATACTGTCATATTCTGAACTATTGTTTTTGTTTTTCTCCACAAGATGGCGCCATTTTTCCAAGTGTTTCTGTTTGGGTTCAGTTGTGTTCAGCTGTATCTTGTTATGCTGCATTTTTACCTTCCCAGCACGCTTACGTCATCGATGGTGCGATTTGTTCAGTTAAGAAGAGAATCACTCCTGCTCAGCACACTAGAGATTGCTTTGGTTATATTGTTTTGTATTATCACAGTCAAAATCTTTTGCTGAACAGAATAATCACTTTGGACGCTCATAAATTTTCATGAAAGTCTTTGTGATGCACGTATTAGGAAGTTTGCTGAAGGTGTTGCTGTCGTGCAGTGAGCGCTTTGTGACTTAAATAAATGACAATTTGAATTCATTGAAAAGTAAGAATGAGAAATTAATACATATGAAATAGACCCTTAAAAGTGATGTCATGTCTTCAGTTTTGCGTTCAGGCCCGATTTGCACTCACACTACAAGCGTACCGTGCCATAGCCAAATCGAATCGCGCTCTGGACCACCTCTTCCAACTGGGCCAGGGCTGCCCATCTCATGCCCGAGAATGGTTCAGAGCTCTCACACTTGTCAAACGAACCAGGAAATGGGGTTAACTCTAAGACTACCCTATTTATTGTACTTTTGTTGCTTGTTGGTTTTTGAGTTTGATCTGCTCTTGTCCTTGCCCTAAGTTTTTTGCCTAGATACTCTAGTTATTACCTTTTTTTTTGTTTTGTTTGTATTTTGGCTAAAGACCTTTTCCATTATAGAGGACTTCATGTTTGTCATTTGTTTTGCTTTAGTCCAGGGGTGCTCAAGCTTGGTCCTGGAGGGACAGTGTACTGCAAATTTTAGCTTCAACCACAATTAAACACATAGACCAGCTAATCAATCTCTATAAAGGAAAATGTCCAGGAAGGTGTGTTGAACAAATGGGAACTACACTCTGCAGAACACGACCCACCAGGACAAAGTTTGGTCACCCCGCTCTAGTCACTCTTAAGGTCTCTTGTGGTATTTTTTTATGATATTGATGGACTTCTTTTTTTTGTACTAGACTCTGTGCCTTGGCATTTTGGGCTCATCACCCCTTCCTGTGGGTACACGGAAAACATTGGTCTATCACACCACAGACCTGGGTTCGAGCCTCTGGCTCATCACATACACACACCGGCCACTTTATTAGGTACACTTTACTAGTACCGGGTTGGACCCACTTTTGCTTTCAGAACTGCCTTAATCCTTCGTGGTATAGATTCAACCAGGTGCTGGAAATATTCTTCAGAGATTTTGCTCCATATTGACATGATAGCATCACACAGTTGCTGCAGATTTGTCAGCTGCACATTCATGATGCGAACCTCCTGTTACACCCCATCCCAAAAGTGCTCTATTGAATTGAGATCTGGAGACTGTGGAGGCCATTTAAGGTACAGTGAACTCAGTAGCTATGTTTCCATCCAAAAAAATACAAATAAACTTTGTGCGTTTACAAAGAGAACAAAATCATCTTCCTGATAAACTGGCACCAAATATCAAAATTAAAACATAATTTGCTGTGGTAGAAGAATCTAAGTCAGTTTTTTCTTTATTAAATAAAAGTTTATACTACTCAGATATGCGCAACATTTTTTATGTGCATTTTCAAAATTATTGACATTTCCATCAACAGATTTTTTTTATCTTTTCGCATATCCAAAATGCACATAAAAATAGCTGGATGGAAAGGTAGTCATTGTCATGTTCAAGAAACAAGTCTGAGATAATTTGTGCTTTAAGACATGGCAAATTATCCTGTTGGAAGTAGCCATCAGAAGATGGGTACACTGTGGTCATGAAGGGATGGACATGGTCATCAACAATACTCAGGTAGACTGTGGCGTTGACACAATGCTCCATTGGGCCAAACCCTGACCCTACTATTCAACTGTTGCATCAGAAATTGAGACTTGTCAGACCAGGCAACGTTTTTCCAATCTTCTATTGTCCAATTTTGGTGAGCCTGTGTGAATTGTAACTTCAGTTTCCTGTCCTAAGCTGACAGGAGTGGCACCCGGTGTGGTCTTCTGCTGCAGTAGTCCATCTGCCTCAATGCTCTTCTGCATACCTTGGTTGTAACGAGTGGTTATTTGAGTTACCGTTGCCTTTCTATCAGCTGGAACTAGTCTGGCCATTATCCTCTGACCTCTGGCATCAACAAGGCATTTGCACACACAGAACTGCCACTCACTGGATATTTTCTCTTTATCAGACCATTCTCTATAAACCCTAGAGATGGAAATCCCAGTAGATCAGCAGTTTCTAAAATACTCAGACCAGCCAATCTGGCACCAACAACCATGCCACAATCAAAGTCACTTAAATCATCTTTCTTCCCCATTCTGATGCTCTGTTTGAACTGCAGCAGATCATGTTGACCGTGTCTACACGCCTCAATACATTCAGTTGCTTCCATGTGATCGACTGATTAGAAACTTGCGTTAACGAGCAGTTGGACAGGTGTACCTAATAAAGTGGCCGGTGAGTGTAGCTCAACAAGTATATACTATATTTTTATGGTTAAAAACAGACTTTGCATGAATAATAAATGAATATCCTAATAAAATCTAATTCACCAAGTTGTATTCTGCTCTTCTCATCCTGTAGTTGTTTGTGTTCTGAGCAAAATGAAAAGACAAGGGAAAACAGAATTTAGACAACAAATACAATAAGTTCAAATATAATTATTTCAGACTGAGACGATGACAACAAATTGTAAGACCTAAGATATTATAAAATTATAATGTATGTCTGTAAAACATTAACACTGAATTAAATGTATAGAGTCAGATTTACCCTTATGAATACTCCTATTGTCCTCCAGTAGCTGAATGTGTGCTGTACAAAATTAAAAATGATGAGAAGTGAAAACAAAATTCAGACACAAGTTGGATTAAATAGAAATATAACTCTGATTTAAAAACAATAACTGCACATTTTAAGACCTAAGATATATATAAAATTATATAAATGTATTATGTCTATTAGTTAAAACTTAGGACGGCGCGATGGCTTAGTGGTTAGCACTGTTGCCTCACAGCAAGAAGGTCGCTGGTTTGAATCCCAGCTTGGCCAATTGGCATTTCTGTGTGGAGTTTGCATGTTCTCCCTATGAGTAAACTAAATTGGCAGTTCATTTTGCTGGGGCTACCCCTGATACATAAGGAACTAAGCCTAAGGAAAATGAATGAATGAATAGTTAAGGCTTATGTTAACTGTTATTAATTGCTCACCCTAAATCCCCTTACTTCTTGGTTGGGATTCAGAACACAAATTAAGATATTTTAATGAACTCTGAGAGCTCTCTAATTGAAAATTATTAATTTAATTAAAATAACTAACACAAAATATCAGGGTGTCAGGGGATTAAATATATGAGGATGAGTAATTATTCATTCATTCATTCATTCATTTTATTTTCGGCTTATTCCCTTTTTAATCTGGGGTTGCCACAGCGGAATGAACCGCCAACTTATCCAGCACATGTTTTACGCAGCAGATGCCCTTCCAGCCGCAACCCATCACTGGGAAACATCCACATTCCACACACGTATACTACGGTCAATTTTTAGCATACCCAATTCACCTATACCATGTCTTTGGACTTAAAAAAAAAACGGAAAACCAAAGGAAACCCATGTGAACAATATGCAAATTCCACACAGAAATACCTACTGACCCAGCCGAGGGCCCTACTTGACCTACTTGCTATGAGGTAGCCGTGCAACCCACTGCACAACTTCATCGCCCGGATGAATAATCAATAACAGAAATTTTATTCAGAAATGTCAGGCACTTAAAGTTAGTTAGTGGATTAAAATAAACATACACTAATAATGAATTATTTAATAAAGCACATTTACCACGTTGCAGTTTATCAATGCTGGCCTGTAGTTCACTGTGCTCTGAAAAAATCAAAATACAAATGAGAGAAAACAGAAATCAGAAACATTAAATGCAAGTATAATTTCTAAGAAAACAACAACTAAAAATTATTGGATATTATTGGAAAAAAAATTTATTAAGGTATAAATAAAAGTATGTGTTGAAGTTAAATAGTTTATATAGCACACTTAGCATTAATGTTCAAACAAATGAATAAAGACTTCACCCTCATGTATAATCTTATTGTCCTCCAGTAACTGATTGTGTTCTGGAGAAAATAGTTTGGTGGATGCAAACAAAAGTAATAATGCATTATTTAATATAGACAGATTTACCTTCACTTAGTTTCTCGTTGCTTATATGTAGTTTATGGTAATCTGAAGAACAATGAAAATGAAGACAAGATAAGACTGAATTCAGACAACCGAAGCATTACACCATATAATATTTTTGATTGAGGAACTATAACGGTAAATAAAAAAGACATAAGCAATGATACACAAAAATATGAACACACTGTGTCTATTAATAAAATATTTTGTGGATAAAAACACTTTGAATGACTTAATAAAACAGATTTACCTAGTTCTAATGTTCTCATGGCTTTCTTTAGTTTACTGTGAGCTGTAGAAAAATCAGAATGAAGGTGATGAAGCAGCATTAAATGTATTAAACACACACACACACACACACCCACACACACACACATATATATATATATATATATATATATATATATATATATATATATGTGTGTGTGTGTGTGTGTGTGTGTGTGTGTGTGTGTGTGTGTGTGTGTGTGTGTGTGTGTGTGTGTGTGTGTGTGTGTGTGTGTGTGTGTGTGTGTGTGTGTGTGTGTGTAAAAAAGCAATTTCCTGACATAAACAAACATAACCAGGTCACAACAATCATGTTTTACTCATGAGCTGGTTTATAAATGTGTATTAAGAGACTCTGGATAATAATTTTCACACTGTATTTTACACTGTATGTAACATTTTTAATTTACATAGCCTCAGAGAATCCCAAAACATCCACATATTGATAAATATCAAAGTAATCAAAAAATCAGTTTACATGCTTTTATCAGAATATTGTTCTAATTGTATTCAGATTAGAGTATTGGTGTTCATGTAAACTGATTGTTTGGTCATCTGTGATTTGGTGGAAATCCTTTATACAGTCATCAATTGAATTATTAGTCCCCTTTTAAATTTATTTAAAAATAAGAGCAAGGAAATTTTCACAGTATGTCTGATAATATTTTTCTTCTGGAGAAAGTCTTACTTGTTTTATTTCCGCTAGCATAAAAGCTAACACCATTATAAGTTCAAAATTATTCGCCCCTTTAGGCTATATTTTTTTTCCGATAGTCTACAGAACAAACCATCATTATACAATAACTTGCCTAATTACCCTAACCTGCCTGGTTAACCTAATTAACCTAGTTAATCCTTTAAATGTCACTTTAAGCTGTATAGAAGTGTCTTGAAAAATATCTAGTAAAATATTATTTACTGTCATCATGGCAAAGACAAAATAAATCAGTTATTAGAAATGAGTTATTAAAACTATTATGTTAAGAAATGTGTTTAAAAAATCTTCTCTCCGTTAAACAGAAATTGGGGGGAAAAATAAACAGGGTGGCTAATAATTCAGGGGAGCTAATAATTCTGACTTCAACTGTGAGTCAGTTAAAAAACTTTCCACAGGACACCTTCTTTACATAAAAAAGTGACAGTAAGTTTACCGCTATTTTTCTGAACAGTCACAGTTATCAGTATTCCAGCAATCACACTGAGCACAGAAAAAACTGATATCACAATCACTGATGTCCTCCACGAAGCAAACATATTACCTGCAAAACAAAATAATGTGAAAGCTAAATGTTACAAGTTAATGAAATACACATAATGATGTACCTGTGTTCCAAATGTCACAAACAGTTCAATGGTAATAAAAGAATCTGTAATACATCTTACGCTGCTATTGTTTTACAGTAGGCAATTAACAGCTAATCATCTTTACTGCATGCAAAATAATATAAGAACCTGACAAATGGACACAGTTACTCACTTGTAGAGCTGATCAGTGTCTCCAGCATGTGGTGTCTCACTTTGACTCTGCAGTGAATCTTGCCGTCTCTCTGATGAACAGTGACGGTGTGTTTCACACTGAATCCGTCTGTGTTTCTGTGCATCTCTGTAGATTCTGGACTCAATCTGACTCCTTCACTGTCCAGCCACTCAAGATCAGGTTCAGGATGCCAACCTTCAGATTCACACAGTAGATGAAGCCCTCCTGAACGATCAAATCCATCTACTGTGATCATTGGAGGACTTCCTACAGCTACAGAACAACAGAGGGAATGAGAATTAAACAATATTATAAAAACAGCAATATATATACTGTTTAAACAAAAACAACAGATTTTCTCACCTTCAACTTTGACATTAACAGTGGTATCATCAGACCAGGTTTTTGACTGCATAAAACACTTATAGCGTCCTTCATCAGACACTTTCACTGCTGATAGTCTGAGTGATGCGTTTCCTGTCTGTAGTTGTTGATGATTGAGTTCAGTTCTCCCTCTGTAGGACTGAATCTGCTCTGTGTTTCTGTCTTCATGATCCTCATAGAGATGAACTGAATATTTCTGATCAAGTCTAAACCACTCGACTCTCATGTCCACAACACTGATGTTGGGTTTGACTGAACAGGGCAGAAGCACATCTTCACCAGCAACAGCAAACACAGGACCTGCAGATCCCAACACTTCATACCGCTCTGCTAAAAGAGAAGGAAAATTTGTTTTTCACATGTATATAGCTTCAAACAAACAGCACGGAGCAGCAGCCTTTATGAATTCAAAATAGTAATGTTCATTATGTTTATTAACACACTGTAATACGCTTATTTCAAGTGGCTGCCATTTTAAAGAACCAAAGTGAGGCTGCGGTGGGAAGTAACCCAGAAGTATAGAACCAGCACTGTAAACATTGTTAACATCTGCTGTTGCTGAGATTTCAAAATGCAAAAATAGTGTAAAAATCACTTGAATATCATTCACTAAGTTTAATTTAAACAATTAAAAGCAATTTAGCATCAAACAACATTACAATCTCTGTAAGAGTAATATGCTCAAGTGTCCTCCTAGGCTTCAGTTCATGGCACCAGTTCAACACTGTGGGGATGCTTTCCTGCTTCAGTCTTTATGCAACCCATTGAGTAATAAAACACTGCAGTCCTCTGTAGCCCACAATCGTGTTGTCTGTAATAGTGTTGTCCCGGTAATGAAGTTTTAAAAACGTCTATTTCCTGCTAACATTTAAGTGCCGCTAAGCGTGTTCATAAACAGTGCTGATTTACCAAAGTATTCACCAATGCTCATCAGTTTACCGCTCTTCACCCAGTGCAAACACAGATACATGGACACTGGAGCGCGAAGCAGCCATAAAGATCAGCCGAGTTATCAAGCAGATCGCTTGTCTGTGTTTTTACTCGGTAAACAGCGGAGGGTGAACTGATGACCTTCTCGGCCAATCACAAGCATTTCTGTTGAGCATGTGAACACAACGGCAAATCAGCGCTGTTTTAAGAAAGCCATTAACAGTGCCTTAAATGTTAGCGGCAAATTGACGGTTTTCTTTTTAATTCCGCTTCGTGACAAGTCCAATATAGTGAAAAAAATCCGTTCATTAACCCGAGTTTGATAAATGACATGTAAAACGTGTGTTTGGGAAAGAAAACATTAGCTAACTAGTGCCATTTGCCTTAACTTATCTGAAAATGAGCTCTGATATACCTTTTTATATTCACCATGTATTCAGAACAGTCCTTCGGTTCACTCGGAAGGCGGTGAAATTATAAATTTGTGTGACTTTCTCTTCGCTGATAAGAAATACAGCCAGGTACACAACGTTCCTACTGTATGTAACTCACAACGATACTTCTGGGTTTCTTCCCACCGCAGCCTCGATTTCGCTTTTAAAAATGGTAGCCGTGTGAAATCAGTCTATAGGGGTCTAAAATTTATGGTGTACTTATGCCTAAATTAATAGTTAGCTTGGCATGGATTAAAATGAATGAAATAATGGACAAATCAGGAATTAAAGATGGGCTAACGTCCTGGTTACGTGTGTAACCCACATTCCCAAAGGAAGGAAATGAGACGTGTGGCTAAAGCCCTGCTCACATTGTGAGATTTCAGCCACGATTTTGTCATCTGAGACAAATTTGGGAAATCCTAAAAGATTACTGATATCCTAGGCTAAAATCGGTGATCTTTGATCGTGGATTTGACATGTTCACAGACAGACGCTTAGTGCCCGTTGCAATCAGATTTTCTCTCCGATGAAGCTCTGGCAGTGTCAGAAGATTTCAGACACTTTCCTGCAGTGTGACAACAGCTGAGATGAGCGTCAATCGAAAAACTAATTGGAGCTCCAAATTTGATGATGCAATCCAAGCGACAATTTGAATGACCGAAGGGAAATGTCAAAGCAGTTTTTTCTTCCCGGCTTTATTTTTGAGACACGCTGTGTGCAAAATTGCCGCTAGATTGTGTACGTTTGCTGTGAAGAATCATTTCAGAACACGGAATATGAAAGTGTCACGCGTGGATGACGTCATACTCCGGGGGCATTTTCTTTCATGTTTGGCGTGTCTTCATTGTCGTTTAGTCTGACTTTATGACAGTTAAGATCTTACAGTGTGACATGAGAGTCAATTCCGTGCAGTGTGACATTCTACAATTATTCAGGATTATAAAACAAAGTGTGAGCCAGCCTTTAGGACACTAAAGGAGGGGAGATCACTAGATTACTAATCACTATAAAAAGAGTAAGGAAACGAGCCCAATGAATGCCTATGAGTTGGCAGAGCACAGCTCCTGCAGGTGCTACCAATTAGTTCTGAGAGAATATATCCAGCATCTGAGGAGAGCACATCAGAATTTTTAAACGCTCAAGCCAAACACTCAGTGGCGTAGCGCAAAATGCGGAGGCCCCCCTGCAGGGATCACTGACGGGGCCCTCTGATTATGGGGGGCTGGGGGGCAACAACACGGGGAAGCGGTCACAAATTGAGGAGCGGGGTTGAGCGACAACGTGGGGAAGCCTTTACAAACTGAGGAGTGATCACAAACTAAGGAGCGGGACAGGGGCTGGGTGGAGCGACAATGCGAGGAAGCCTTCACAAACTGAGGAGCGATCGCAAACCGAAAGCGGCGAGAGCGTCAAAGTAGCAGAAGTCATTCATTTTCAATGAGAACCGGCGGCGAGATACAGCGCGGCGCGTCTTCTCTGGTGTGAGCATCGAGGATTGTTGAAATCAAGTCAACTTTATGGTATGAGCTATGACGTGGTTCGGCGACAAGCAATCAGAATGAAGTAGTCCACCGCTTGAGAGGACTTCAGAGAACACAGACCTGTGAACTTTGGTTCCGACCACAGTTGTTCCCAAGAGTTTGATTATTGCGGTTGCCGGATTTTCAATTATTGAAAATCGCAACAATGCGGGGCCCCCTAATCACGCGGGGGCCCCCCCGCGGTGCGTGCCCTGTGGGCCCGTCCGCTACGCCACTGCAAACACTCAGCTATTAGCTGAAGACCCAGCTGCTATGGTGATGGACACACGTCTCAGTTCACTCTATCAATTAACGTGAGTTACGAACATAACCAGGATGTTGCTCTTCAGATAGGGAACTCCAACATGTGTTTAAGGACACTTTGAAAAAGTGTATGAAAAATGCCACAGCAGAGGCGCATCCTCTGGTGCGTCCATCCTCAGTGTTGGTTTGCAGCAGTACACCTGAAGGATGAATATCTTCATGTCTCCATTCTTCCGTGCCACCTGAATAACATCGTGTGCAGATAATGTTTCAGAATGTGCAGATCTAGGATGGGTCATAACCCACTGCTCTTTTTGTGCATGATGAAGTACAGGCTGTCTTCAACTTGGCTAGAGGCACTGGCTCATTTGCATCCTTCGCCAGGAGGACACCAATCTCCTCGCGAAAGACAGGGGTGAACGTGAGCTTGACCATCGTGAAAGGAGGCCATTTGGTGAACTGAACCACATAGCTGAGTATAATTGTGTGAATGAGCCACCACAATGAGCTTGGCAGGTCTAGTCAGGTTGGCAAAGCCCGCATGAGCGGCACCATTAGTGCAATCGCTAACATGCCTGCTGCCTGCAGAGGGCTCGGCGCTGCTGCTTACCCAGTGAAACAGGCTGTGGAGGTAGAGCAGGTCTTGGACGCCATCTCCAAGGACCCAACAAAGTGGATGGGCCCATCGGAGGAGCAGTTTTCCAAGCTCAAGACCTGTCCTATAGAACTTGACTGCTCTTTCACCTCCGAGATCTCCTGGGTAAAGTCCCCATGGTCTTGCCAAACAGGCTGGCCTAGGATATGGGTGCTTTAAGAAGGCAAGCCCTCCTCACCTGTGTAAACTCACTGTGCATCTCTAGAAACAATCTGATGGGGGCTTACAAGGTTTGTACCTCTTGTTTACCACCAGATAGCATCGATCTAGTCAGACTGTTGGCAGAACAGGGGGACAAGCCATCTCTAGCCCTACTGCTGAAGCAGCCCAGGATAACACGGTCATCATGTCTGATTGCAGATCCAATACCTCGCTTATGATTACGGAGAGGGAAAGTGGGCCTGTAGTGTCATCTAGCCTGAGCGCGGCCATCCAGGATGATGAACCATCACAAGCTTGGACAGAGCCCACTGTGGAGGAGTGAGGGGTCCTCAGGCCAGAATGCAACAGATTAGACCCCAATGTAACCCCCAGGCATGCCCAAGTGCTCACCAACTTGGGGGGAACAGCAGGGGTAGCGCACCCGTTTTGCAAGGGTGAGCCATAACCTCAGTTGCACAACGGACATGCCCTCGCAGTGAGGGCATGAGCTGTCTGCGAGCACTGCATCCACATGCTAGACCCCCAAACGTGATGCTGTACCCATGTCCATCATCTGGGGAGAGGAAACCACCCCACTCAAAATTGCATTGTTAGAATGACATCTTTAAAAAAAACACTGTTGCTGTCTAAAGGAAATCTGCTTTTTATTGAAACTACTCTTTTAGACACCCGTAAGTCGTAACTATGGTTAGCTCTTTAACTCCTGATTTGTCCATTCTTTCATTCACTATTATTTCATGCCAAAGTGACTATTAATCCAGGCATTAGTATTCCATGAATCATGAACTCTTTATTATAAAGTGTTACCACATTACCTGATCTTGAGCCTGTAATTCCACTAATAAGCAGGAGGGCTAAACAAATCAGCTTCATCTCTTATAAACTCTGAGACAAAAAAAAGAATGAAAAATATATTACAGTGTTTGTTAAAAGGCATGTTTTTGCTTTTGAAAACTACACTTAACACTGATGCAAGATACATATTTTCCAAAACTGGTTTAACCGGGTCGAGACAAAACAGCATACAAGTACACAATGTGTCATACATGTAGTTTATATTTACAAAATATTTTAAAACACATATATTTTTAAACCACACTGATTGCAAACTTTAAATAAATATGTTTGTCTGCTCATCCATGACTTACCTTTAGTTTAGCATGTTTTCTCAAGAGTGTCTCGAGATGACAGTCTACACGATCATCAGGAAATATTTCTGGCTTAGTTTTACTTTCTCATGTAACTGAACACCTTGAGAGATGACCGTCCCTCCCTTCAATCCAGCTGATAAACCTACAGTAACTCAACTACTACTATCACACACATTTTTACAGAATAATGTTGCGCACCATAATCTGATCGGATATAAAATTTGTTACAAAAAATATATACAAACACAACTGACACAACACACACCCATCCTTAGAGAATTGTGACTCCAAATTAAACCAGAAATACATTTTAAAATTTGTATTTAAATTAATTCTCAAATAAAAAACAAATCCTCATAGACTTACATTACATGATGTAAATGACATTTTTTCAGAAAAACAAGAAGCTGCAGAAAGAGCTCAATTTGATATTGTATATATTTTTAAACTTTAGAGAACAAAAGCAAACTTACTCTCATCGTAAAGTTTATTTATAAACTAATTTTGAGAGGAGCACGTGATTATGATTGAACACAGCTGGTTTTGCATTAACTAACACATGATAAACCAATCAGATTATTCCTAACTATGAATAGCCAGGGTTTCTTACTAGTTATCTTCGCCTTGAAGAACGCTTCAGCTCCAAAACAAACAAACAAACAACCAACCAACCAACCAACCAACCAACCAACCAACCAACCAACCAACAAACAACCCGATAACACATTGAGGTAAAGTTGGCATATTTGCACATTCATTCATTTTTGGAACAGTGACAATTTGTGACACGGTCCTTATATTGTCTACCATGAATAATCATTGTGAAAACAGATGCAAGTATGACTTCAAAACAATCAGCACCATTTAACTGACAGTGAACAATGTTATTTGATAGTACATTGGCTGCTAATATGATTTAGATTTTCTCTTTCAGAGATTCGTGAGCTTTTCCAGATTATATTCAGTCTGTTCATCACATTATCATTTGACTTCAGAGGACCGCATGAGTTATACGCTACTTGTTTAATCCAGTAAAAGTAGAAAACATCTCAATTTAATCATAAATACAGATGTATAAATCTCAGATGTGAGAGAGATTTGACATCTCTAACAAATACAGACACATTAAGGCATATTCTGGGAGCAAATCCTGCAGTCTGATATTAACAGCAGCAAAGCATGTACTAGCCTGTCAGAAACACAGAGAGTCAGCCAGTGGACAAAACTAGTCAAACATTATTACAAACCATCTGAATGAATGTTGTGTTATTATTATTATTATCATTATTATTTAGTTATTCTCTTTCATTATGTTTTTAATAATCTATTTAGAATTTAAAGTTGGTTTTACATTTGCACATTTCTCCTTAATATCATTTCAGAATGGTATGCTCCGCAAATTCTAAATAGGTATCATATTAGCAGCTAATGTACTATCTAATAACATTGTTCACTGTCAGTTAAATGGTGCTGATTGTTTTGAAGTCATACTTGTATCTGTTTTCACAATGATTATTCATGGTAGACAATATAAGGACCGTCTCACAAGTTGTCACTGTTCCAAAAATGAATGAATGTGCAAATATGCCAACTTTACCTCAATGTGTTGCTATTGCTGGGTAACAGTTATTGTAGCTGTGTCCAGATATGTGATTAATGATTGCGATACATGTTTGTTACATGCTGTTTATTTGTTATAGTACTGTGTATGTTTATTGTAAGGGCTGTCTTTGAGGTTTAAAAGGTTTGTGATGAATGCTGTATTTTAAATGTTTTATTCTTGAATATTGATGGCAAGGGTGTGTTTTTTCTGAGGAGTTTTAGGAGTTGGTTTATGTCACTGTTTTGAGTTACTATATAAGGACTGTGGAGATCTGCATATTTGCACATTGTCTAAAAGTGGGGTATGACCCAAATTACCTTGAAAGTATTGCACATTTGCACCCGATATGAAAACCTAGTTTTGATTATTCCGCTAACCTGCTACCAAAGTGGTTTTTGTGGTTAATTGTTTGATATCCCTTTTTGTGTACCTAATAAATGTAATTTAAGTGAAAGTCCTTTTTCTTTATTTTCTTTCTAACGAATTAGGGGTAACATTATGCCTATTTTACATTCTAGGAGAAACCATGTTGAGTAAGTCTACCAAAAGGTCTAGTAATGTTCTTAATCAACATTTTTAAAGAAACTTTATTTACTTGATCAAATGGGAAGAAACTGTATAAAATGTCTGAATAGAGAATCATCTGGGTTTGCTCTGACTCCTGTGAACCCAAGATACTGCCGTGTACTTTGTTACTCTGGAATAAAACTCATTTTTTTTCTTCAAGACGTTGTGGAGAGGTAAGCATGATCGAACACCCAAGGTTCGGAGAGCATGCTAGGAGCGCGGCGGCTAATCAGCAGGTCAATCAGAAATGATTAAAAACACCTGTCTTTCTAGTGATTGGGCCGGAGAGACTCCCTTCTTAAGGAGAACGGGAGGAGCAGTCGGGAGAGAGGAGAGAGCGCGCACACACACACAGCTTCACGTGTGGTGGCTATAATTTGAAAATAAAAAGATTTACTTACCTGACTCGCTGACCCTGTCTTCTTCTTCCCACAACAGTATTTTTTATTATTTACAGTATTGTTTGTTGTGGAAAAATTGAGAGTTCCTTTTCTCTTATCTTCTAAATTGTTTTAAAGAATGTACAATGAAAAAGCTCTATTTAAAAATACTCCCATGCTTAAGATTTAGTGCAATAATAATACTTTTATTTTGAGAATTTATAAATATCTAAAAAAAAAAAACATTTAAAGAAAATTAAATAAAGCATATTTTTGAGCAGATACTTTGTGTTGTCAAATCTTCACTTAGTATCTGTAATTTTAGTTGAGTTAAAATTTTTTGAGCACTTTTTGTCTCCCGTTCTTTATGGTATTTACATTTTAGTGAAGTTATGAAAAAGCACAAATGGTAAAGTTATAGGGCCCTATCATACACCCAGCGCAGTGTGGCGCAGTAGTCTTTTGGTAGTTTCAGCTTGACGCAAGAGTTGTTTTGAGGCGTTGCGCTACGCTGTTTAAATAGCAAATGCATTAGCGCTCATTTTTGCGCCCATAGGCGTTCTGGTCTAAAAAGGAAGGCGTTCTGAGGCGGACCGCTGGCGCGTTGCTCATTTTAGAAACTATAATAGATTTTTTATTAGACCAAAACTAACCCGGTCTAAACTCCAGCGCAGAGTTGCGCCTCGCTTACGCACTGCTTAATACGCACAAGAGAGCAATAGGCAAATATCTTTACATATAAAAAAAATAATATTAAGGATATATATAGGAATAAGAATAGATATAGGATATAAATATAAAGAATTAAAATATTACAAAACACATTATTTTCTAGCCTACATAAATATGAAAAACCACTGCTTTTATGTCTTCATCTCGGGAGGCTTTTTCAGTTCATTCATAACAATTTGCTTTTGTATAATGTTATTATTATTAGCAGTATTATTTAATATATCCATATTTATATTTGTTTTATTAAAAACAAGCTTAGATTTGCCCACCTGTCAGGTTTTGGACCATATGGGGCATAGCAGGAGTATTTTGGAAATAACCAAATATTATGTATTTATTATATGTATATGTATTTTGACCACACTTTGTTATTATTGTTCATTTATTCGTTTGCTGGAAATTAGAACTGAATTTAGAAATAGTTTTGAAACAAATCTTTGCGCTTAACAAACAAAAGTATTTATTTATAGACTAATTGATGTCTGTGCGTAAAGGTTTCCCTATCCAAAAGCGAAAGTGAAAGTGATCCATTATCTCTCATTCTCACGCAGTAGATGCTCTGTTTAACAGTTTTCTGTTAAAAAACTGTTAACTGTTTGCTTGTGAAATGCTCATTTTTTCCACTAAGACTTACTTTGCGTCCTGTAAATAGCGAATGAGCTCTTGGTGCGACGCAGCTGACTCTTAAAGGGAATGGGAGATGAGACTCCCATTGGTAGAATTCGTTTATTCTCAAAACACACCTATAACTCAATAAGAAAATAAACTCAACCCTTTTAGACCATGCGCCTTGGCGCAAAGCACATTTTCCCGTCCTTAAATTAGCAAAAATGCGTTCTGACACGCCCTGAAAGCGTTTGCACCCTGCGTTTTGCGCTCTGCGCATAGACCGTCAAAACAGAGCCCATAATGAGGAAATGAGTAAACCGTGACTGTCTTTTAGTTCAGCTTTGAGTTCTTTGTTTATTTCTACATATATTTACACATATTTGTACATATTTACAAAATTGACTCATTTAATCATTTAATCACAATTATTCAGTGTTTACATTAGAAAGTTGTATAATGACATAAAAATCACAATTGTGTGCGCAAATGTTTGACACTAATGTATGAATGTTATACCAATTGTGTTTATTATTATTATTTTGAACCATGTTTTCTTTTGCTCATGTAAATTCATGGACTCTCCTCATTAGTAATCATCACAGATAATCAGTGGTGTAGAGTTTTTATTTCTCTGATACCCCAAACACACAAATGGATAGAGTTTTTCATTAAAAGTCTGACCAGTGTAAGAGTAGATATGAGACATGGAGTCAGCATCATAAAAAGAGACAAAACCCTTCTCATAATCCACAAACACACCGACCCTCTGAGGACTCACACTCAGAGAAATAAAGACATATGAAGACTCACGAGCCCGATAGTTTCCATTTCTCAGACTCATAGTCCAGTATCCATTGAGAGGAAAGATCGAGGCTTTCCTGTCAGCAGATTCTCTGGTCACTCCTAAATACCACACAGTTTGTCCCTCCACCCGCACCTCATAGTAAAAACACCCTGAAGAAAATCCCTCCTTTCCTACAACACCAAGAGGTTTAATAAACCTGTTATTTCCCTCATTCACTGTTTGTGTGTCTCCACATTTCACTTGTTTTCCATCTTCAGACACGATGAGACGAGGATGAGCAGAATCAGCATCCAGAGTCACATTCACTGCTGGAAATATAGAAAATTCTGCTTTACAGATCAGCAAATAATAAAACATACAAACATTTTTATAAGAATCATGGCAACTTAACAACAAAATGAACAAAAAACAAAGGATGTTTGATGATCAATATGTTATGAAAGACCTGCTCACAATTTTCACATCCTATCTTACTGACTGACTGAAATGATCTGTTCATTGTGGTCGTCTTGTTTTTCTGCTAAACTGCTGTTTTCTGTTAAACATTTACATATTTATATGCATAGATTTCTTTCATGCCATGTCTAAATTGAATTTGGTTACATTTATTATATGTATAAAAATAGAGTTAAGCATGATTACAAGTATGGGAAATGAACATTATTAAAATAATTACAGTGGTCAAACATTTATACTCACCCATGAGTTTTCGTAAACTATTCATAGCTAAAAAACAGAAAGTATAATGTTATCAAGCATTTACAAACAACATTTATATTTGACCATTAATGAGCTATTTTAAATCACTGCTAGAAAATACACAGTGCTTGTTAAATAGATATTTATATTGGCTTGAGAAAGACAACATATTGTAATGTGTAGGAGTCCATCTATTAGCCCAATGACGAAACTAACAGCATGGTCGAAGGTTTAATGCATGTAAGCCTTTTCCAGTGCTTCTGAAAATAATTATATTATTTATTAGAATTTATTTATATTCGTTTTTTAGCTCCGAATTCAACCAGACTCCAATTTAAATTATCCTAAAATGTAGATTGTATTTCTAATTGTATGAACGGACCACATTCATCATTCAATCATGATTTAATTGAGAGTTTTGATATTTTCTGGGGTTCGATATTCTAAATTGTACGTTCATTAGGGACCAACATCGCTCAGAGTGTCAAGCCCCAGGTTTGCCTGTCTTCTCACGGACAGTATGTCGACACTCTGAAAATAGTCAGAGGATGCAGGATTAACTAATATTCAAATAGACTGGTTGCCTAACGCTCACCTAGTCTTAAAAAAATAGATCCTTTATCCAAGCCTGGGCAACTTGCTACTTTCAGTGGTAAGATGATTAAAAGGTCTACATGTTATCGGCTCGCAATGGCTACGTATAATCAAATGCGCCTATCAATCAAAATCTAATTTATGCTGTACTATAAAGGTACATCCATTAATCAAAGATAAATCAAAGAATTATAGCTGCATACCTGACCAGAGAAATACATTGCAGCATAAGTCTCAGAGATGCTGCAATGGGGTGTCTTTTTACAAGATCCCCCCGGCCCATACCACATCTTTACCTTAGGCCGTACTCACACTAGGTACAGTTGCCTTGAACCGGGCCAAAGCACACTTGTCCCCCCTCCCGTCTCCCCCGACGGCCCACACTCACACACAGTCGGGCCTCGGCACGCTTACGTCATTGCTGCTGCAATGTTCTGTGAGAAGCACTCACTCACTCAGCAGCACAGTGGAGATTTCTCTAGTTATATCCTTTCAGTCGTTTGATATGCAGTGACATGCAGTCAAATATTTCGCCAAACAGTCCTTAGGGATGCGGTGAAGCAGTCAGATATTTCACCGAACAGATCCGCCACTTTTGGCGCTCATAATCATAAAGCCCTCGTGCTGCAGGAATGTGGAGGTTTGCTGAAGGTGCGCAGCTGTCATGCTGTGAGGAGTTTGCGTCTTTAATAAACTACGGCAGTTTGCGTTCACTGAACAGTAAGAATGATTAATAAATCCATATGAAACAGCCCCTTAAAAGTCACGTCTCACTTTCAGTTTCGGGCTTTGGCGCGTTTTGCACTCACACACAAGTGTACCGTGCCAAAGCCCAAGTGATCCGCGCTCAGGCACACCTCTTCCAACCGGGCCAGGGCCGGCCAAGTGAACCGTGCTTGAGCCCAATTCAGCGCACTCACACTTCTCAAACGATCCGGGAAACGGGCCTGGGCACGGAACGGATGGCATAGTGTGAGTAGGCCCTTATATACTCAAGTCAAAACAAACAGCCATAAATTTAAGACAATAGAGGTGTCACTGAAACTCTTGCCTGGTGAATTTGAGGACTTAACCATCTTTTAGGAGGAAGAGCATCTGGCTAAGATCTTATCAAAGTCAAATACCAAATCAACATATACCAGTGAAATATTAATGTAAAAATAAGACCACTTTACCAATCACACAGAGACATTTAAAATGATACCAAACATGAATATATAGTGCTGCAAGATACACAATATTAAAACCTTGAACATTTTAAGTGAAAATGTAAATGATTTGATCAATCAGAAGGTACAATAAGGGTCAAGAAGGGGGGCTTGAAGTGGAAGGAGAAGGGTGACTTTCTCACATTACCCCCTGCTGTAGTGTAGCTCTGTTTCTCTAGTCTGTGTTTGCATTGTCAACAGTGATTTGAATAGAACAGTTGAACAGCTGGTTTCTTCATCACTTCTCAGATTAGAAAGTCCATTGGAGTATTGCATCTTGTCTCATGAAATTCCAGAACAGTTCTCCGTGTCTGATATTTTGGAATCTTACAAATGCTACTCAAACTCAAAACTACAGTAAGTTGCATTCCTTGGGTGCAAAAGTGTCCCAAACTTGCCCATTGATTTACAATAATGAAAAAAAACTCATATACTTCTGTGCTGGATCATCTACTAAATATTAGTATTTAGAAACCATAAGTTAATGCCAAGTCATTAAGCTTCTTTTAAATTTTTGTTGCCATAGAAACATTCTGACAGTTTCAGTTAATTGCCTCATTTTAAAGAACATCTTACATGAAGTCACTGGCTGTTTCTCAATATGTGTTCTTGTCTGTACTTGCGTTCTTGTGTCCTCGTTAAACGTCAACCGTCGCTGCAGTACTGTTCCAATTCAAAGTTTACATCTTGCCAAGTACAGAAAAAATTCACGGATGTGTACTTGCTCTGCCCCTTTGGCCAAGGATGCATCGAGAGGTGACTTGTGCAAACTTGCGAAGCTCAGGTATCCCGGAATGCATTGCAGCTAACCCAAAAAACGCTAATGGAGTAGATGAAAACCCGCACGATTTTAAATAATATGAGTTTTTCAGGCAAGAATGAAGTTGTTTTAAACTCGAATCGGCAGTTTATTCACAAAGATAGCACGTCTTTGACGATGTGCCTCAGCTTCTGCGGACTCTGAGTCCGCCTGTCAGCGGGAGCGCCATCATCACCTACCCCGCCGAGAGTAGCTTTATTTCGGCCAGTCCATCTCGGATGTACCCCTGGATCTCATCACTAACTCGTAGTTAAAACGTGATATTTATTTCATCTTGTGAATATCTAACGGACAGTTTTTGGTTTTTTAAATGTATTATTTGTTCTCAGGTGTATTATTTTGGCAGTATTATTTTGTTAACTTTTATAATTGTATTTAATTATTTTACGGTGTTGTACGCTGTTTATCTTCGTTTACCAAATAGTTTGACGTACTCTTTATTTCTTATCGTGTATGTCTTCATATTGTGTCACCAGCTCGGTCCCAGCTATTCCCCTCACTGACCAGCAGAGGTCACTATTACTGGCATTCTAAAAACTCCATCCCCCAGAATTCCCCGTACCTGACACTGATTACCCTGCACCTGATATGCATCCACACCAATGACTATAAAAAATATGGACGACGCGACAGCCCCTTTTCCCATTAAACGCCTTGAGGGCAAAACGACTGCTTGACGGGCACAAACTGTTGCAAAAGACTGCTGAAATTGGAGCCTTGACATGCGCAGAAGGACTGTCTGATGGAGCCAGAGGAAGATAGGCAAAAATGAGCGGAGTCGAGCTTCCAACCAAACGCTTTATGTAAAATCAACCACGCCACCCCAACTGCTCGCTTGACTGCCAGTATCTGCACTATAACAAACGCTCGCTGATGTAAATAGAAGCACTTACATTTAAAAAACACAGAATAATATACGGTTTAAAAACGGTGTGATTTAAGCTGTTATACTTTAATAAAAGCAATACATGGTGGACTGCAGAAATAAACAATCTTTTATACACTCTAGCCTGAATATGAGCACAAGTTGTTGGTATTTGTTATCTTCATAGGGGTAGAAATAACACTTGTAAAATATGAACAATAACATATAAACAACACGTACATTTTAGGAAAGGTTTTTATTTTTTTTCATTAGCCACCAACAGAACCCAAAATATAGCCTACACACCATAACGATTTACCATGCGGGAACAATCGTGCTTTTAGAAGAAAAATACAGCAAGATTACTAAATATCAACAGGATATTTACACATTCCAACCCTGCAATTTGTGCAAAAAAAAAAAAAAAAAAGAACTTTGCACTATAACAGTAAATGATGCAAATAAATAATATCTAACATTTACAGCTCTATTAGGCTATATAAGATTCGGTTTCAAGAACCTTATAATGTTTTATAACAGCAAATTCAGTAGATTAATTAATACCATGCTGATGCCGAAACTTAAAATGCAAAGACGTCCTGTAAAGCAAGTTCAAATAACCTTACAGGAGATCAACGTGGAGATTATTATTTTAGACACATAAAGATAATTACTTCTAACGATCTCCTGTATTTTCCCCGTATTTAAATTAGTTTATTTTATCGTGCAGTTTTATTGTCATTTTTATATTGAAATTCTTAACTCTTGTGCAACACAAAACTTATTCATTTTTATTATTATTTAATACTTATGCAATCAATACAGGTTTATTGTTATTTATTTTGTCCTTTATTTAAATATTTGCGGAAGTGTTAATGCAGACCAACAGAGACAGCGCGCAGAAGTATAAATGCACGGCTACGCACGTTGCATGCGCCGTGGGTTACGCCGGTCACTTGACCCAAAAGTATAAACCAGGCTTGAGGGGTAAGTCTCCGGCAGGCGAGAATCTAGCCTGAACTGGCCCGAGTGTATTTTGCTACCTGGGTGGTTAGGCGTGTATCAGCAAACTAATAAAGCCCGAAAAAAAGCCCTGAACTTAGCGAATAATCAGTGTTCCACCAGATCATGTATGTCAGAAATTATAGTTTACTGCTGAACTCATTTTGTCATGGTAAAATAACACAGAAATTGAATAATAACACTTCAGTCTTCTGCCGAAGCTCAGACGCGCTGCTTTGAGAAACTGTCAATCACAGCTGTCAATCACGATGACACGCCCAGCATTAAATTACTGCTAAAAACAAACTGTTTACAAAAATGAAGATCTGCACCTATTTCAGCACAATAACCAGTGCCTTAATCGACCAGAACCATCTTTCGGGACATTTTATTGCAAGTGTAATATTTTTTTTTATTTGGGCTCAAGTCTCCTTCATTAACACGGAGGAGGCGGGCTTTATGACTTGTACTGCAGCCAGCCCCCAGGGGGCGATCTAACAGCCGAGACCTTCACTCAAACACAGGCTTGCGACACACTTGATCCACACTCACACATTTAAGCAGCTCTCACCCTCATCTCAGTGCAAAGTCTTGTTTTCCCCAGCAGACATTTCTGAGCGTTATTCCCTGGATTCTGATTGTTCTCCTGTTGCCAACCCGGACTGTTTCTCGACCTTGTATCTTCTCGCCGCCTGCCCAAACCTTTGCATGCCTTTGGACTCTGACTCACAGCCGCCAGCCCTGATCCCAGCATATACCCTGATGCCGCTTATAATCTGCCTGTCTTCAAGCCTGTATAAACCTTTAGTACACTTGAGTATATCTGCTATCTCTTAAGTTCTGTTGTTCTTCACTTGTTTAATTAACGTACTGCATATGATCCTTCCCTGTCAGAGCATTCATTACATACTTCTATAATTGCCAATGTAGTTTATTAAATCTGATAATCAAAGACGCGTTTCGTGTATAATAAATCATTTTACTTCACATTTATATGAATTAATATATACATTTTCTTCAATCAAAAATACAGATATATAAAATTAATTTAATATTATTAAAGGGCTGTGCTCTATATATATATATATTTCTTTTTTTTTTTTTTTAATGTACAGTAAAACCGATGAATCAATGTCTTCCATGTCTGATCTAGGCAAGTCTGAACTTCCAAGGACGCAAGTCCGAACTTTGCATACTTGATATTGAGAAACAACCACTTGCAACAAAGACTATAGAATACACAAGACATGTCACTAGAATCTTTTTGAATAGGGAAAAGTTTGACTGTCAATATGGTGAATAAAGCCCTGTCTACTAGTACAGGAGCCAATCATTGATCGCTATATGGCAAATAAAGCCCACTTAGTACAGGAGCCAATCATTGATCGCTAAAGACTGACGATGCTCTGGGGGAGGGGCTCTGACCAGATGTGAATTTCTGCAGATTTTGTGTAATTAAGGCATTTAGAAACTAAACTAAAGGGACAGTTGTTGTTTAATTATAATTGGTGATGCCAAATATGTAACATAATCATAAGCTTGGCAAGCACCCTTGTGCCCACTCCACAGCATGGAATCTGCCCTGATTATATTCACCAATGACCTTCTTATGGCAGCTGATTCTGGACTAATATTTATTCTTATTCTCCTCGACCTGAATGCGGCCTTTGACACTATTTGTCACAGCACCCTCATCAATAGACTATCCTCTCTGGGGTATCACCAGTGTCCCACTTGAATGGTTCAAATCTTATCTCTCTGGCCGCACTCAGTTCATTCAACTCAAATCATTCACTTATCAGCATTTTACAGTTTCTTCAGGTGTACCCCAGGGCTCAGTCCTGGGGCCCCTGCTTCTTATCATCTATCTCCTTCCACTTGGTAATATTATCTGTAAATATAGCAGAAATCAAATCTTGGCTCTCTCTTAACTTCCTTAAGTTAAATAGTTAAAAAATGAGGTTTTGCTTGTTGGTACCAAATCAACACTCTCCAAGACTGACAGCTTTTCTCTTTTTATTGATGACTGTTCTATTTATCCCTCCCAACAGGTTAAGAGTCTGGGTGTCATCCTTGACAGCACCCATCTTTTGATTCTTACATCAATAACATCACCCGGTCTGCTTACTTCCACCTACACAACATTTACCGTCTCTGCACTTCTCTTACCCCTCATGCCACTGCTGTTCTCGTTCATAACCTTGTCACTTTTTGTTTAGAAACTTGCAACTCTCTTCTCTTTGGTCTCACTCATAAATTTCTCCGTAAGCTTCAGTTAGTCCAGAACTCAGCTGCCCGTATCATCACCAGAACCCCTTCTTCTCATCACATCACCCCTGTCCTGCAGCAGCTTCATTGGTTACCTGTTCATTTTCGAATTGACTTTAAAATCTTGATGTTAACATTCAAAGCCATCCACAATCTCGCCCCTCCATATTTGTCTGCCCTCATCCACATTTCTGTTTCTTCTTGAACTCTGCAATCTTCCTCCCTCCACTTGTCTGTTTCCTCAGTTTGTCTGTCGTCTACAGGCAATACAGCATTTAGCCCCTCTGCTCCTTGGCTTTGGAACTTACTACCACCTGCCATCAGAAACACTGACTCCCTTACACTACTAAAATCAAGCCTCAAAGCCCTCTTATTTACGATACCTTTTAATAATTGTACCTGCACAATTGCTGTGTATATTACTTGTTATTTTTCTTGTTGTTTTATTGCTCTTGTTTTATTGTGCGGTGTGCTTGAGTTGCAAGAAAGGCACCTATAAATAAAATGTATTATTAAGCAGTTTTGGAGAATATTATGTTTCCCCATTCAGACAGAATGCCAAAGTACACTGCCCCAGAGGTGTTTCAAATATGGCCGTCAAGTAAAATGACTTGCCTAAAGGGACTTTCCACTCATCCTGTGATCATCTGTGGAAGCATTGTCTGTAAGTTTGTTATCTGTTTGTATTTATATTTTATCTCAGATATTAATGTTTTGTACATAGATAACTATAGGTCATTGTATCTACTGTATATCATTTTACATAGCTTCACTCTGTTTCAACATACTCTATGGAGCATGGAATAAGGCAGCATTCCCCCTGAATCACACGTGTTGGAAAGGGATTAATTTATGAAATTAATGCCATTAATCAATCAATGTACTATAACATGTAAAATGGGATCAAGAAAGAAGCATTCAAAAAGCAACTCATGTAAACATCTTAATCATATTTTTTTCTTATTCAGATTAAGGCAAATAACTAGATTACTGATGTCAATGTAAATGTAGTCCTGCCAACTGTGTTTAAGTCCTAGCACTTTCTCAAGCCAACATCAAAGTTCACCAACAAACTTTAGCTTCTAGTTTATAGTGTATAAAGACTTTGAATTATTAATTAATAACTAAAGGGATAGTTCACCCAAAAATGAAAATCCTGTCATCATTTATCTGTCATCACCTTTTACTTCTTCCAAACCTATTTGACGTTTTACTTTTGTTGAACACGAAGATATTCTGAAGAGAGCTGGATACCTGTAACCATTGACTTACATAGGGCCCTTATCAAACACCCGGCGCAGTGTGGCGCAAGGCGCGGCGCAGTAGTCTTTTGGTAGTTTCAGCTTGGCGCAAGAGTCGTTTTGAGGCGTTGCGCTACGCTGTTTAAATAGCAAATGCATTAGCGCTCATTTGTGCGCCCATAGGCGTTCTGGTCTAAAAAGGAAGGCGTTCTGAGGCGGACCGCTGGCGCGTTGCTATTTTGAGAAACTATAATAGATTTTTCATTAGACCAAAACTAACCCGGTCTAAACTCCAGCGCAGAGTTGCGCCTCGTTTACGCACTACTTAATACGCACAAGAGAGCAATAGGCAAATATCTTTACATATAAAAAAAATAATGTTAAGGATATATATAGGAATAAGAATAGATTTAGGATATAAATATAAAGGATTAAAATATTACAAAACATATTATTTTCTAGCCTACATAAATATGAAAAATCACTGCTTTTATGTCTTCATCTCGGGAGGCTTTTTCAGTTCATTCATAACAATTTGCTTTTGTATAATGTTATTATTATTAGCAGTATTATTTAATATATCCATATTTATATTTGTTTTATTAAAAACAAGCTTAGATTTGCCCACCTGTCAGGTTTTAGACCATATGGGGCACAGCATGTGTTTTAGGATATAACTCAGGTTTTTGAGCACATTTTGTTATTATTATTCATTTATTCGTTTGCTGGAAATTAGAACTGAATTTAGAAATAGTTTTGAAATGAATATTTGTGCTTAACAAACAAAAGTATTTATTTATAGACTAATTGATGTCTGTGCGTAAAGATTTCTTTATCCAAGAGCGAAAGTGAAAGTGATCCATTATCTCTCATTCTCACGCAGTAGATGCTCTGTTTAACAGTTTTCTGTTAAAAAACTGTTGACTGTTAACTGTTTGCTTGTGAAATGCTCATTTTTTCCACTAAGACTTACTTTGTGTCCTGTAAATAGCGAATGCGCTCTTGGCGCGACGCAGCTGGGTCTTAAAGGGAATGGGAGATGAGACTCTAATTGGTTTATTCTCAAAACACACCTATAACTCAATAAGAAAATAAACTCAAACCTTTTAGAACATGCAGAACAGATTTCCCGTCCTTAAATTAGCAAAAACGCATCCTGGCAAGCCCTGAAAGCGTTTGCGCCCTGCATTTTGCGCTCTGCGCATGGACCGTCAAAATAGAGCCCAATAGTGTTTGTTTTTCACATTATGGAAGTCAATGATTACAGGTTTTCAGCATTCTTCAAAAATCTCTTTTCGTGTTTAACAAAAGAAAGAAACTCATAAAGGTTTGGAACCACACAAGGGTGCGTAAATGTGCATTTTTGAGTTATCTATCCCTTTTAGGTAAGACAAACTCACCACTTTGCATTCTGCAGTTATCAAGCTGTAGTTTCTTGTGTTCTGAAGAAAATTAGGAAAAAGAAAAGAGAAAACAGAATTCAGATGACAAAAACATTGAATTTAAAACATAATTTTAGTCTGAGGAACAATAACTGCAAACCACAAGATATGCACAAACATATGTAGATACACTGTTAAATCAGTATTTTAAAAGTTAAAATAAACATTTGATAAATCAATAACCCAATAAATAAAAATTATCCTGTATATTCTTTTTTTCATTCATTCTTTATTTGATTGTTTTAAACAATTCAGAATAAAGATGAGAAAACAGCATTACATTTATTAACTTTACGACAGACAAAAAAAAAAAAATTAAAATTAAAATTTCTTAAAATTAAATTACTTAAAATTAAATTACTAAAAAATGTTTGATTTAACATTCATTCATTCATTTTCTTGTCGGCTTAGTCCCTTTTTTTAATCCGGGGTCGCCACAGCGGAATGAACAACTTATCCAGCAAGTTTTTGCGCAGCGGATGCCCTTCCAGCCGCAACCCATCTTTGGGAAAATGGCGGCAGGACAGGTGTGTTTATTTCATAAAAAAAAAATCCATAACTAATTAATTAAATGAATGAGTAAATTCAACAACCCTTGTATATATTTATAGTTCTTTGGACAAAGACATTTTCCTCTGCAGCAGCTGTGCATGCATCCATCACAAGCATCATGCTTTACAGATCAGGGGCCTCATGTACGAAGACTTGCGTGGAAATCTTACTAAAACATTGCGTACGCACAAAGCTGTAAATGTGCGTACGCAGAAAAAAATTCAGATGTATGAAACACTGCGTACGCCAAATCTCACGCATATTCTTTTGTACATCTGAATGAACGTGAAACTGAGCGCAACATGCACGAGCACAAAACCCCTCCCTGCCTCCTCCCCCGTATGAATATGCTAATGACTATGCTAATAGCAAAACCCAACGAAAAAGTAATGGAAAAAGCAAGCAAAAAGAGAATCTTTGAACAGAATGTGAATTGGAGGTGCTGCTTTCGGAGGCAGACCGGAGAAAAGCGGTGTTATTTGCAAGTTTGTTCTCCGGAATTAACAACAAAAGAAAAAAATAGAGTGGGAGAGTTTAGCTGATGCGGTTAACACAGTTGGGTCTGAACATCGCACCGAGTGCATTAAAAATAGAAATAGTGTGGTTTATGTCTGTAAAATGTTGCAGTACTCTTAGCAGTCTCAGTGGCGCACCTTGTAAGACGCATGTGATCATAAATAGTTTCGTTCGAGCATGAACTCGGCTTGAATCCAGCGTCTGATGAACTCTTTCTTGTTTTTTCCCCCGCTACATATCAGATTTTGCCAACTATTTATCACGAGAAAGACAAGTAGGAATCATCAATAAGTTCATATCAATAAGCATCATATTTTATTTGCACATTTATTGAATGGAAATGTTTCTGATTCACGCATGCAAATTCATCTTCAGATAGTGTCTTTATAGCAATGTGCGTGCAGTAGATCGCTCAGATTACATTGGGAAAACAGGCGACTGCTGCAAATTGTGCTTTAATGTTTAGCTGGTCAAATGTATGGTATGGAAACCTTATATACCTGTTAGATGAACCCGTCTCATACAGCTGCCATTGCAAGGCTCAGACACTTTGTAGAGAGGAATTTAACACAACTGCCTCTAGGAGTCGCCAATGGAAATAAAACAGACACGCACAAAAAATGTGCGTACGCCTGCCAGAAAGCTGCCGTGAACCTGCGCACATTCCCACGTTCAGTTCATTGTTAGTAAATCCAAACGTGAGCCATTCTGAGCGTGAAACCTGGCGTACGCAAAGTTTTTGTGCGTACGCAGCGTTGATACATGAGGCCCCAGGTATTTTGATTGTGAGGTTTTTATAACAACCTCTTACACACACTCACAGAAACCTTCTGGAGTTTTTTTTTATAAAAAACAAAACAAAAAGCAAACTATGATTTTAAGCCTTTTGGTTTACTATGACACTGAATATGTCTTCAAACAGCATGTTTAATTAGAAATCTCCATGGCATAGACATCTATTCAGGTTTCTGTGCACCATTATTTAAAACTGTCAAAAAAAAAAAAACAATCATTTGTGATTTGGTAAAAATAGTTGTTTATAGAACAAAATGATTTTAAAAATCTATCCCCAGGTTGCCTCATTTACATAAAAATACAATAATTTTACCTTTGTATTTATAAACAGCAACAGCGATCAGTATTCCAGCAATCACACTGAGCACAACTGAGGCTGAAATCATAAACACTGATGTCCTCCAGTGAAGATACATATTACCTGCAAAACAAAACACTGATTAAGCAAAGAATAAGTATAATGTGTTTTGCTGAAATTATATTTATATGACATGCTCAATAGGGTGAAGCAGTGGCGCAGTAGGTAGTGCTGTCGCCTCAAAGCAAGAAGGTTGCTGGTTCGAACCTTGGCATTTCTGTGTGGAGTTTGCATGTTCTCCCTGTGTTCGCGTGGGTCTCCTCTGGGTGCTCTGGTTTCCCCCACAGTCCAAAGACATGCGGTACAGGTGAATTGGGTAGGCTAAAGTGTTTGTGTGTGTGTGTGTGTGTGTGTGTGTGTGTGTGTGTGTGTGTGTGTGTGTGTGTGTGTGTGTGTGTGTGTGTGTGTGTGTGTGTGTGTGTGTGTGTGTCCGTGTGTGTCCCAGGGATGGGTTGGGGCTGGAAGCCCATTCGCTGCATTAAAAATGTGCTGGATAAGTTAGTGGTTCATTCCACTGTGGCGACCCTGGATTAATAAAGGGACTGAGCTGACAAAAAAATGAATGAATGAATAATATGCTCAATATAATTACGACGATTACATACACAGTATAATGTTGATGCAAAAATCTAAGCCTTTTATTATTTTAAATAATGGAATGGACAAATAAACACAGAGTTACTCACTTGTAGAGCTGATCAGTGTCTCCAGCATGTGGTGTCTCACTTTGACTCTGCAGTGAATCTTGCTGTTTCTCTGATGAACAGTGACGGTGTGTTTCACACTGAATCTGTCTGTGTTTCTGTGTTTCTCTGTAGTTTCTGAACTCAGTCTGACTCCTTCACTGTCCAGCCACTCAAGATCAGGTTCAGGATGCCAACCTTCAGATTCACACTGTAGACGAAGCCCTCCTAAATGATCAAATCCATCTACTGTGATCATTGGAGGACTTCCTACAGCTACAGAACAACAGAAAACATACATGGAGCAAATTAAACAATGTCATGATCATACACTATGCATCATACTTAAAATTTTCTATAGCGTGGGTTTCCTCACCTTCAACTTTAAAATTAATCGTGGCATCATCAGACACTGAGTTGGACTGAATAAAACACTTATAGCGTCCTTCATCAGACACTTTCACTGCTGATAGTCTGAGTGATGCGTTTCCTGTTTGTAGTTGTTGATGATTGAGTTCAGTTCTCCCTCTGTAGGACTGAATCTGCTCTGTGTTTCTGTCTTCATGATCCTCATAGAGATGAACTACTGAGTATTTCTGATCAAGTCTAAACCACTCGACTCTCATGTCCACAACACTGATGTTGGGTTTGACTGAACAGGGCAGAGTCACATCTTCACCAGCAAATGCAAATACAGGACCTGCAGATCCCAACACTTCATACCGCTCTGCTACAAGAGAAAGAGAGCATGGATGTAAAAACAAAAAACAAAATGTCTTTTAAAATGCCAGCCTACAATGCAAGTCAATTACTGTTTTTTCCCCACAACATTCTTAAGTATATCATCAGAAGAAAAACTCTGTTTAGATACTTCATTAAGTGTGAGAAAATGGTGAGGAAACTTTACAGTTCACATTTTTGGGTGAATTCTGCCTTAAAGACAAGTAAACATAGTAAAGTCCACAAGTGTGGAAATGAGACTAGTGTTTCTGGGATTTCAGTGTAAAAGCAGAGGCTGTCCTTCACAAATCAGCTTGCACTCATTAATCTTGAGCTGTGTAAAAATGCCATCTGCATTGAGTTGTATTAATAAAGCTGATCAGCTGGACAACAGCAATTTAGCCTATAGAGCACACACTCCAGCTCTTTATATGTGGATGTGAATAATTACCTGATACTGAATCTGTAATTCCACCTAAAATGAGCAGAATTAAACAAACAGACTTCATCTCCAAAAACACTGAAAGAAAAAATATAACAAAATATGAAAATAAAACCTTTAAATAAATAACTTACAGAATGATGCAATTAGATAAAGTGTTTTGTCACTTAATCTTCTATCCTAACACTTAAAGGACAAAATATACACATTTTTACATTCTAGTTTACAATTAAAAGGGAAGTACCTGAGCATGTGTATTGATTAATATTTGACAAGAAAATTGTGCAACGAATACCAATGTGCTGTAATGATATAGGGTAAACAAAGATTGCAAATTTGTCCAGTTCATTTAATAAGATTTCAGAAGGAATTGTTTAAGCATTTAATTATTTACCCATACTCATTTTATATGCATTTTTGTACTACAGAAGCGAAAATGAAAAACCAATGATTATTATTTAAGATTTTAGTTAAAAAATAAATACAATACGTATAATTCAGATCAGTTTGTATAAGCAAGAGATGCCCAAACTAGAACCAGCAGGCCAAAGGTGGCTCGTTGGCCCACTATCCCATCTGAGACATGAGTATGAATGATGTGCAGGGTTGGGGGGGAATGATTTGAACAGAGATTGTAATTTCTAGTTTAAAATAGTCTTTGTTTGTTTGTTTGTTTGTTTGTTTGTTTTATTACTGAGCTACAAACAAAGCCAACGAACATGAAAAGATTCATTTAAATGTTAATTGTAAATACGTAAATAAATACTTTAAAATTGTAAATACTGTCACTCAAAAGATAAAAGACAAGACATCTGCAAGCAAATCAAGGCAAAATCAGGTGCAGCTTGACTAGCGTAACTCATTCTGTTATAAATGAGATTGTTTTACTGTAATAAGTTCATTATAAACACAATAAAAACATTTATGTTGCATTAGTTAATACAGCAATGTTTTCTGGTTTTTATTAAATAGTTTGTAACAGGCTGGATTGGCTAATCGGGAGGACCGGGAGAATTCCCAGTGGGCCGTTCCGTTTTTTGGCCGCGAGGGCCGGTGTCCCTAGCTCCAGAATCTGTTGCTCTCAGCAGTCACACTTTTAAAATGTATTTATTTATTTGACAACAGTCTTTTTATTCATGATTTTATGTATACAGTTGCTGTGGTCCAGTGGTTGGCACGTTAAATTACGACGCTGTCGACCGGGGTTTGATCCTCGTCCGAGTATGTTTTTTTTTTTTTTTTTTCATTTTTATTGTTGACATATAATACTGTTAGGGTTGTTGAACATTTGAAGTTTTAAAGAAGCTGTTTTCTCAAAAAAGATGTGATATTGTAATTAGAAACTGAATTGGAAATGACCTTATTTTAATATAGTCAGTCGTAAACTGAGGTGGGCAGGTCTGAGGGTTGAAACTCCAGGGCTGAAAAGGAGTCCCACTCCGGCCCTGCTTTGTAAATAAATTAGGAAGTACCCAAGGAAGCTATTAACCTTCGGCCCATTAGCGTCAATCTAGTTTGCTTTTTGGCCCTTTATAAGAAAAAGTTGGGCATCCCTGGTATAAACAAAAGGTTACAATTACAAAATACAACTCTTAGCGTTAGCGTCATTGTGATGAGATAAATAAAGTACAGATACATAAACAAATACATAATATAGAACTATAAACAAGTGGATGATATATTTCCTTTAAAATAACTTTAAATTAGCTCAATTTATGAAATATAAGGAGTAAAGATTGCACAATTTTGTTTTGGGGTGTAGTAAAAGCAAGTGTTTCCCCAGAAAAAATATACTCCGATAAAGTACAGAAGCTTAAAAAAATGTAGGCGTATATTAACACTTCCGTATGGAAAAAAAATATCCTACCTTTGCTGTTGTTCACTGCCTAAAACTCTCACTGGATAACCAGTAAATGATGGACGTACCTTGTTTTAACACTGCAGTATTCACGTAAGCGTCAGAATAAATTTACACGATTTTTGATGATAATAGTCATAGTTTAAGTCCCGAAGGAGAACATTCCTTTGTTAGTTTAAACCAAACAGTTTTACTTTCATTTTCTAAGGCTAATGAAGGTAAACCTGCTCTTACGTTCCCAAATGGCTCTTTTTTTTAGTATCAATCTGTTTTAGTCCAGTTTATCAATTGTAAATGGGTTGTTTGTTGGGAAGTAAGTTTTTATTGAGTGTTTACATAAAAGCCTTATTTTTTGTTAATTACAAAAATATATAATAAATGTAGCTACAGTTATTTAACAATATTAAAACTTTAATAGAACAACTGAACAACACAGAAAAGCAAGCGAATTAAATAAAAGTCATAAAATACTAGTTTTATCAGCATTGTGCTCCTGTTCAAAAAAGATCCGACCCTACCTGCAGCTAAAGATTCAGCTCTAGCTGACAGGAGTCGACTCTCGTTCGTCACAAACGGTGGGGGTTGTTGCCATAGATACAGGGCCGGCCCGCATAGGTAGTATAGGCAAATGCTTGGTTTTGTTTTCGGTATTCCTGACACATTCAGTGATAGACGGCAAAAACTCAAAAATCCTCTTACCCTATAAAGATCTAAAGTTTGTTTCCTACAAAAAGACAAAGCTTGTTAGCTCCACAGCTGTCTTTTTATTTTATTTTTCGCTCGACATTACGACCACTGTTCTGCTTAAACCCTCGCAATATGCGTGAGGGAGCTCTCGTTTTTTTTTTTTTTTGCTCCGACCTGCGTGTTTTATTTTAAACAACTCATTTTCTCTTTTAAATGAGTACAAACAGTTACTAAAGTAGTCGAATGCTTCAGATCTGTGCATTACATGAACACTTCAAAGGAGTGCTACCCTGTACTAAAATGGCGGCTCTATTCCTTCCAATAAACAACAACAGGGTAGGCGACATCTAATCAGGGCTGGACTGGGGCAAAAAATCGGCCCTGGCATTTTAGGCCAGAGCGGCCCACTAAATTAAATCAAAATGCTATCTATCTATGCACATCCAATATTTTTATCAACTCATATTCTATAAAACACAAAAGCCATATATTTGAAATAAATAAATGAATAAATACAAACTTTAATCTCAATTTAATTTCTGTATATACTGTCCATAAAGATATTTGTTGAGTTCTAAAAAATACACTATTCATTCATTTATTTTTATTCGCATAAGTCCCTTATTTATCAGGGGTTGCCACAGTGGAATGAACTGCCAATTATTCCA